GAGGGGGGGGGCGGAAGCGAAGCCGGCATCGTCGAAGCCGTCGGAGATAGTTTCTATGGCGACATGGCCGGCGTTGGGAGTTGTGGTGGAGACGATGAAGCGAGTGATGGCGGCGGTGGCGAGGCGGCCGTGGGAGGCGATGCGTTTGCCGAATTGGAGCATGGGATTGATGTGGCCTTGGCTTGGGTATGGTAGCACAAGAGCATGGCCTTTGCTTTTCTTCTCTGAGGCTACCATCTCTGTTTTTCGCTCACTCTCTGTCATTCTCTCTTGTTGATTTTATAGAGGAAGATAAACAGTGTGAGGCTGATATTGCTTCCTTGAGGAAGGGAATGACTAAGTTCTATTTGGATTTAATTTGAAACTATATATAGATTATAGAGTTCTCTATGCTAAGCCACATCTTTTATTTGAAATATATTACTTAAATAATATCATGGCCACTTTACATTAATTTTATTTTCGTTTTATTTTATCATTTAAGAATTTCTAATTTCTTTTTTTAAAAGAATAAGTTTTTGTAACTTTCATCTAATAATTTAAAATATTATGCAACTTTTTTTTTTAATTTTTTTCTATAATATTTAAAGGCCAAGGAAAACAAATGGCTCAGACCTGAGCGGTTCGACCTGTTAACAAAGGTGTGGAGCTCGGTCCACTATAGCTTCGGCAAATTACCTGATTTGCTAATCACGATTTTTCTTTTGTTTTTTTTTATCTTCTTTGCCTGTTCCCGCTCAGCCTTCCCGCCTCCCTGCTCACGCGGTCCCGCCTCCCTGCTCACGCGGCCCCGCCATCTCCCTCACGCGGTCCCGCCAAAGCACTCTCCCTTTGTTGGTTTTCTCATTGGGAATTACCTTTTTAAGCTACTTTGTACCTCTTATAAAGAGCAAAACAAAAGGCCTGCAAAAGTCTCCTCTCCAAAAACCAAATTCTCGGTTGTAGCTTGCAAGGGAAAATAGGCTGTTGTTGTTGTTTTCTTTGGGTTTGCTAAGAAGGAAGGAATTCCTTTGATTTTTCTCTCACGTGGCTTGAGAGAAAGCGGAGAGAGAGAGAGAGAGAGAGAGAGGAGAAAAGATAAAAGTTTGACGCTCGACGGTGTAATTTCCTCAGCTAATAAAATCCTCTGCAGCTCCGTGGACGTAGACAAATTTGCCAAACAGCGTAAATCTTGTGTCGCCTTTTCTGGTATAATTTCTCGATCTGTTTTTCGTTTTATTGTCGTCGTTTTTATAACAATTGGTATCAGAGCCCCGGTTCGGATCTGAGGAAGAACGATGGCCGGAGACGAAGTGAAGGTTTCAGGGATCAAGAAGTTCGACGGCACGGATTTTGGATACTGGAGGATGCAGATAGAAGATTACCTCTATGGGAAGAAACTTCATCTTCCACTACTGGGAAAGCGACTCTTTGAGTTTGAATTCTGCAGAATTGGAATATGTTGGATCGACAGATTTTGGGGTTATTCGATTAACCCTATCGAAGTCAGTTACTCATAATGTCATCAAAAGAGAGGACGACGACAATCTTATTGTGGCCCTATCAAGTATGTATGAAAAATCATCGGCGAATAACAAAATGCACTTCATGAAAAAAGTAATCAACCTAAAGAAGGCCCTGAAGATGGTGAAGGGTGTGTTGGTTGTTCAACATTTGAATGATTTCAACACTATTACAAATCAATTATCGTCCGTTGAAATTGATTTTGACGATGAGATACGTGCGCTGATATTGTTGGCTTCATTACCAAATAGTTGAGAAAGCATAAAGATAGTAGTTAGCAACTCTGCAGGTAAAACCAAACTGAAATATGATGATATTCGTGACTTGATTCTTGCTGAAGAGGTGCGCAGGAAAGATTCTGGCGAGATCTCAGGTTCGAGTTCAGCATTAAATGTTGATTCCAGAGGGAGATCACAAGACATGAACTCAAACAGAGGAAGGTCGAAATCAAAGCATAGAAGCAAGAGCAAGTCAAAGGGTCAGCAAGCAACCTGCGGGAATTATGGCAAACCTGGCCACATAAAGAAGAACCGTAAAAATCCTAAGAAGATGGAGAACGTCAGTGCTAACGCTGTAACTGAAGAAGTGCAGGATGCACTATTTTTTGCAGTTCATAACTTTGTTGACGACTGGATACTGGACTCGGGGACTTCTTTTCACACATCTTCTCACCGGGAGTTAATGAGAAACTATGTTTCAGGTGACTTTGGAGAGTTAATACGAAACTATGTTGCAGGTGATTTTGGGAAGATATATCTGGTTGATGAAGAAGCTCTGAACGTGATGGGGATGAGAGACATTGATATTGCACTCCCTAACAAGAGTGAATGAACTTTGTAAAAGGTCACACATTCCTGAGTTAAAAAACTTCATTTCTGTTGGGCAGCTCAATGAGGGTGGTTATTAAATAGTGTTCTTAGATAGCTCCTAAAATGTTACAAAAGGGGCACTAGTACTGGCTCGGGGTAAGAAAACTAACACACTATACATGACTACAGGTTTATTCCGGCTTGATCACATGAGTCAGAGGGACATGAAGGAACTTCAGTCCTGAAGGCAAACAACCAGAGCTGAAGTCAGCTGATCTCAGAATGCGAGTTGTATTATGGGGAAGCAGAATAATGTCAGTTTCTTGAAAAGTGACAGAACGCTAAAGACAGATTAACTGGATCTTGTACACACCTATGTGTGGGGACCTTCCCCAGTGGCATCTCTTGAAGGCTCTCGCTATTACGTCACATTCATAGGTGACCATAGCAGAAATGTATTAGTTTACTGTTTACTTTCTGAAGCATAAATCTGATGTAGTTTCTGTGTTTAAAACTTGGAAAGCCATGGTTGAAACGGAGACAGATCTAAAACTGAAATGTTTGAGATCTGACAATGGTGATGAGTACATTGATGGTGGGTTCAAGGAGTACTATGCAGCTCAAGGTATCATAATGGAGAAGACAATTCTGGGGACACCACAGCAAAATGGAGTTGCAGAACGCATGAACACGACCATCAATAAGCGTGCTAGGAGCATGATATTGCACGCAGGACTACCACCAACCTTCTGGGCAGATGCGGTCAGCACTGCAGTTTACCTGATCAACAGAGGGTCAACTGTCCCATTAGACTGTAAATTACCTGAGGAGGTCTGGAGCGGCAAAGAGGTCAAATTTCATCTTAAAACTTTTGGTTGTCTTTCTTATATGCTAATCAATCCTGATGTACGTAGCAAGCTTGATGCTAAGTCAAAAAAATGTTATTTCATTGGTTATGGAGACGAAACATTTGGTTATCGTTTCTGGGATGATCAGGATCAGAAGATTATCAGAAGCAGAAATGTGATTTTCAATGAGAAGATGATGTACAAGGACAAGGCCAATACAAATTCTGGAGTAGCTCCTCAGGAGTCAGAGTTTGTGGAGTTTGACAATCTACCAAAGGACACATAGTAGGACGAAGATGGGAATGAGGAGGAGAATGGGTCCGGGGCACCCATTTCTATTATTTCGCAGGTAGGTCTAGAGTCATTTACTACTCCAACCGCCGTTCGTAGGTCAGTGGTCAATCAGAAGCAGGCATTCGCCGCAACGTTACTCACCAACTTTAAATTACATATTGCGATAGATAATGGAGAACCACAAAATTATGAAGAAACCTTAGCAGATGAAAATTCTAGCAAGTGGGAGCTGGCCATGAAAGAGGAGATGGATTCCCAGCTGAGAAATCAGACATGTGATCTAATAGAACTTCCCCCAGGGAAGAAGACATTGCACAATAAGTGGGTGTACTCGGTAAAGACTTAGCCTGATGACAGTAAAAGGTACAAGACCAAACTTGTTGCAAAAGGCTTTCAACAGAAGCAAGACATTGATTACTCTGAGATCTTTTCTCCTGTGGTAAAACTCACAACCATCAGGATGGTCCTGGCTATGGTTGTTACCGAAGATCTATTCCTGGAGCAATTAGATGTGAAGACAACTTTTCTTCATGGAGACCTTGCAGAAGACATGTATATGCACCAACCTGAAGGGTTCGTGGTACAAGGAAAAGAAGATTCAGTTTGTAGATTGAAGAAGAGCTTGTATGGTCTGAAACAAGCTCCTAGAAAATGATACAAGAAGTTTGATAATTTCATTGAAAATGTCGGATACAGCAGATGCCAGGCAAATCACTGTTGCTATGTCAGGTACTTTGACCATTCTTATATCATCCTGTTGTTGTATGTGGATGATATGCTTATTGCAGGGGCCAACATTTATGAGATCAATAATCTTAAGAAGCTGATGTCAGAGCACTTTGCAATGAAGGATTTGGGAGCGGCAAAACAAATCCTTAGCACGAGGATTGTTAGAGATCGAGTTAAAGGCACTTTGAAACTTTCACAGGCTGAATATGTGAAAAAGGTGCTTAGCAGGTTCAATATGAACAAGGCCAAGCCAGTTGTCACACCTTCAGGCAGTCACTTCAGACTCAGCAAAAATCAATCACCCAAGTCAGAGGAGGAACAAGATTATGGAGACATTGACAGTAGGAAGAGTACTACAGATTATGTTTATACTCTTGGCGGTACTGCAGTGTCATGGGCTCTAATCTACAAAAGACAGTTTCTTTATCCACTACAGAGGCTGAGTATGTTACAGTGTCAGATGCTGCTAAGGAGATGATATGGCTACAGAGTTTGCGAAATTGGGTAAGGAGGTTCAGAAAGGCACTCTCTACAGTGATAGCCAGAGCACCATATTCCTAGCTAGAAATCCAACATTTCAATACAGGACCAAGCACATTCAGATCATGTATCACTTTATTCGATCATTGTTAGATGACAGACAGTTACTACTTGAGAAAATTTGTGGAAGCAAGAATCCTGCTGATATGTTGACCAAGAGCGTCACACTTGAGAAATTGAAGTTATGCTCGACTTCAGTTGGTCTTCGAGCTTGAAGACATGGGCTTTGAGTTGCAAAGGTGGAAGATATCACGTTTTTTTTTTTTAAAAGGAGCGGTGCAGTCAGTAGATGATGCAGTCAGTGTCCCAGTCTCCAAGTGGGATAATTGTTAACAAAGGTGTGGAGCTCGGTCCACTGTAGCTTAGGCAAATTACCTAATTTGCTAATCACGATTTTTCTTTTGTTTTTTTTATCTGCTTTGCCTGTTCCCGCTCAGCCTTCCTGCCTCCCTGCTCACGCGGTTCCGCCATCTCCCTCACGCGGTCCCGCCAAAGCACTCTCTCTCTCTCTTGGTTTTCTCATTGGGAATTACCTTTTTAAGCTACTTTGCACCTCTTATAAAGAGCAAAGCAAAAGGCCTGCAAAAGTCTTCTCTCCAAAAACCAAATTCTCGGTTGTAGCTTGCAAGGGAAAATAGGCTGT